GTTTGTTTTGTGACTAGAAGGTGTTGCAGTGTCAATTTATCTGTTGAAATAATTGGTAATTTATTAAGGGTATTAATTGTCGTTTTCAATCAATCAATTCTGTAGATTTTCTCCACAAAAATTAAAATTATAACTATCCATTTTTGTATATTACTAATCATTCTAGTACTTGTTTCATCCAGGAATTAAAATTTATTATTCTGCATTTTCTTTGTCAACTGTTTGATAAGTGCTGGTATTTACCAGGTATTATTTAAGAAATATCTGTCCAAATACAACCTGTATAATAAGTATGTGTGATTAGTATCCAGTTTGAGTATTTAAACGTTCAAGTACTGGTTAACTTAACAATGTAATGTCTTGATAATAGTTTGGTATACTGACAAGTTGGTACTGGATTGATATTAGTTTGATGTCATTTTTGACAGAAATGGTTCAAACCAAGAATTTGTAATGTCCTGATAATACCTTGGTATGCTGACAAGTTAGCACTGGACTGATATTAATTTGGTATCATTCTTTTGGACAGTACTGGTTCAAACGAGCAATGTGTGAATAAGGCACTAAAATTGGTACTTTTATAAAGTTAGTAGAATACAGAGTAGCCTTTTATTATTTGTCAAAGATGTATAGAAATAAAAATAATTCTGGTAAGAGTTTTCAGGTAAAATAATTTACATACTAGTTTTTCATATTACTTTAGAATAAATACATCAATGAATTTGAATATTGAGTGTCATTTAAAATAGACTTATTGGTTTTCACCATCATTTATGCGTATATCCCTCGTCTATACCCAAGATATCAAATTCTTTGTCTTATTTCTTATAGACTTCAATTTTATTATTATTTACTTTCTCTATTTTTTATCTATTAAATCTCTTTTATCTATCGACTCAATCTCAGGGTTTTTTCTCTCCTTTTTATTTCTTGCTTTTTGCAGAAGTTGAGAAGAAATAGTCTTTTTCTGAGGAAGAGGAGAGCAATATTTTGTCAGACTGTGGGATCTTCTTTAAGGAAAACAGGTAGACATTTGGTAGTTTCGTAAGGTTAATCTATGTCCAAAGATGACATTTTACACAAGTTTTATGTGAATTGTGCTGCATCGTCTAGGCAAGGTGTAACTATGAAGGAACTCTTCAATGCATCTGTGACAGCAGTTGGGTGTCAATTAGAGTGCACTTTGCAAAGAGCATTTTAGGGTGTTTCTGTACTAAAATCTGATAGGAATAATTATTATGTGAAAAGTTAGGACCACGTTTTAGCCAGCAGTAGTCATAAGCTTGATCCTGCTCCTAATAATAATGAATTTTTGATGGAAATATGTAGGATTGAGTAGGATACTATTCCGATTGTCCAGCACAAGTCCAAAATTTCTGTTAATTCCTAGGTGTTTAGTAAAATGGTTTCTTTCTCTTATGTGGACAAATCTATGAAGGACACGAAACACTGTTTCACAGAACAAATACATTTACAATCTAATGTTGATAGGAGATTCAATGCCATTTAAAAGAAACTTGATAATCTCTCTTTGACTACACAGCCTTCTCCTTTGTCGCAATGGAACACACCACTACCTCCAGTTCAGGCATACAGATATGTGTACAAGACACCACCCAAAAGCACTTAATAACAAATCATTTCGTGATACGTCTTACATTAGCGAGGCCATTGTAAGGGTATAAATCAGTAGGATCATGTTGCTGCACAACAGGGATATTCTGTGTTTCACCAAAACTATGGTCTACCTCTGTTGTTGGCCAATCAGAGGCGGTCATGGAGAAACAGTCACTCAGCAGTAAAACTATTCGATGTTCCAATTAGGTCAACGTTTAATTTAATGCTGTTTCAGCCAAAGCTTTAGTAGATACTGGCTCAATGGTTGCAACAGAATCAAACTCATTTCACTGAAGTTCTGATTGTTAGTCCCGAATGCTATACCGGAATCAAACCTCCAGTTACCTGTGTCTGTATTACATGTCCCTGAAACACATAACAACATATTTTGACCTGTGATAAAAAAACCAATGTTATCAGGTTTTGTAATGTTTATTCAAATGTATGTCAAGTTTGGCAGTTAAGTGTGTAAGCCTCACTCAGTCAAGTCTACCAATGACCATTCTATCTCAGTTGTACCGTTAGAGGTGTTTCATCTGATACTAAGCTAGTGAGTGAATCCCGATACAAATGTTAATTATCTTGTTCGGCTAAAAATAGTTACAGTGTCCAATGACAGTGGTTATGCAAAAGGTGTATGTACGTATCTGTAATCGACTGCGAGGACATTGATTATTCAGCCGAAATCTAACGTTTGTGTTGTTAATGAGGTCACAGTGCTAGAAAACCTCGTTTCTGCTCATTCTGTTTCTAACAGTGTGAGGTCTACTTCTTTATAGCCAGATTTATATTCTCTTGGTTTGAATATTGATACTGAGAATCTCTCATCTTCAGCGTGTTCGCCAAGTCTTAGACAATTATAAAGATCAACTGATATTGGTTGTACTGATCTGAAACGTCATAGAATTGTTTTAAATTCAAGCAGCCTAACACACCCCCTGGAGTTCTTGCAAAGGTGAGGTAGCACCTTTAGTACATGCTTGATTGCGTTGACATCATGCCTAGTAATCCTCCTTTCCTTTTATGTTGCTCTTGTTTGGAAAAAATAATGTTCTGTTTTAAGTTCTGTATTGATTTTAGAATACTCAACTTCAGAACAACAACAGGGGCTTATATGCTTCCTCGTTTTGATGATACCGTCGACCTTTAAGTGTGGTTTTTATTTTTTTCTAAACTTGATTTGCGTAGTGATTACTGTCTCGGATTTCTTACTGCCAAATGATTACTGTAACCCAACGAATATTCGCGACCAATTAATATTCGCTTTATTCGCGGATGGCCGCGAAGCGCGAATATTTGTTTGCGCGAATAAGTCCGCACGATTTCGCGAATAAATTGGAGAGAAATTTTTATTTTAGAACCTTGTTCATGCAAAGCTATTTGGCCAGATATATTTCGAATTTTACGGGCACCTGTTAGGAAGTAATGAATTGTTTATGAATATTTGCCACGCATATTTTGGGCAATCTTTGCTCTCCGTTCACTATCATAATGTCCGTAACTTTCACGTTTACGCTTTAACACACCCCCCTTTGGTGATAAAATTTCAAATACAGCTTCGTTTGCCGCTTTAGTCATTTTTTTCTTTTCTGGTGTGCTTTCCAGATCATGATCAGGCAAAAACGATGCCGAAACATCCCTGCAATCTGAGGGAACTACCCTTTTGACGACATGTTTAGAAATGAGGACGAACGATGCGTACATGTACATATATAGAGAAATTGTTTTGCTGAATTGTGATCACAATTCACTTACCAATACAATATAAGGCTAGCGTATTGTTAATCCCATTTAAGACACCAATAATGACCTCAATTATTGAAGATTAATAGTCGGCTAATTGATTTTACGGCCCCATCAGACTTTTCAATCCGCGAATATATTTTTTTCGGAAATCAAGAAAACGCGGAAATTAATATTCGCGAATATGTCCGACCTCGGCAAAACGCGAAAATTTGTATTCGCGAATATTAATTGGGTTACAGTATTGCTCTGTCTCTTCATAGCACAATCGTACTTCTGTCCCCTCGTTTCGGCAAACAGAATTTTGAAAACTTATATATTTTATCATGTAAGGTAAAATCACTCTTAGGCAAGGTCACTGGCCGTATTAAATAAAACATCAAGCTTGTATTTTAAATTTGTATTTCATAATGCTCCGAAATAGCTGTGTTTAAAATTTTAATTTATTACGGTCCAAAACTGTAACAGGACAAAAACTATTTACCTGTTACAATTAACCAGTTATTTCACGTCATGTATTATATCATAAAAGTAGTATTATACATCATAATAAATTTTATAGTACATGAATTTTGTGCAGTCCTAGATAACTAATAATCGTGTTTGAACATTGCGAATCACTGACGAATAGTTTCCACAAATAAAAAAAAATAAAATAGTAGATTATTTTTAAAAGCTGTTTAACAGTTGAAACATTTCCTCAACAAAAATAAAAACATCAATTATAAACTTGCTTGTTAAGATCACAGATTTAAATTAAATGTCTGTCCGTAAAGGCTTAACGTTCAACAAAAAAAGAAAGTTCTACTTAGATACACACACAACATTATGTTAATCATGTAATTACGTATCAATTGGCGATAAATTTTATATTTATTCCTTCTGAATATTGTGTTTTCTATTTTATATATCAAGAAAGTTTCTTTTCCTTGTCAATATTATTTAAATGATATCTATGGGCATAAATGAAAAGTCATTTGAAGTTATGATCATTCAAATTAAAGTGTGGGCCAAGATTTATGGATCAGTCGAATTACATTGCATCATCAAATAGGCGACTATTCATACGTTTTGATAGCGCTTGCAGAGTCTGCCCAACATATTGCAAGTTTCTTTTATCACAAGTAGAAAGGAAAACAGCAGTTGACAGTTGGGTTTTTTTTGTTATGGAACTCATTTTCCCCCTATTTTTACGGGAAGATGGTATGAATACCAAAATGTTATTTCGATTGATATATCATTGAAGCATACAAACTGAGATATTTCTTAATATTAAAAAAGCGATGGTAATGAATTGCAAGCCGTGCATCTTACTTCATTTATGTTTGATACTTTAATATTTTTCGTATTTCAGCTGATTAAGAAAACACTGTGGTTTTTCCGTTAAAACTGCAACAGGTTGTCACTCAAGTGATATAACTGGAAGAATTAATTGGTATGATGACATACACAAGGTAGGTTTTTATGGGAATGTATCTGAAGAAAAGAAAATGTTATTTTCCCGCTTTACTTAAGTTGTGCCTGTCCCTGATATTTAAGAAATGATATTACAAATTACGTATTATGCCACCTTGTTTTGATAAAGAGAATTTATGCAAACTGTACAAAATGAGGAAACGGAAAAGCATTTTGTAACTTACATTATCTTCGCCTTATTCTTTCTCATGAACTTTATCTTTTAGGCTGTTGTATCCCGAATCAGAATTTAGCTGGAAATAGAAAAAGAAATTTAGCACCAATTTAAGTGTTTTAAATACATTGGTGAATACTTGCTCACAATTTATTTAAATTATCATTCTTTAATAACTTGCAGAAGTAGGTCATTCAGGAAGATTTCTGCTTCTCCCCTTATTGGAGGTAAAGAAATAGAGATTGATCGAATGATATATCAAGATTTTTATTAAGAAAATGGTTTTATACTTCTTCGTATCAGCCACGTCGGATTATTCGTGCAATTTTGTCTGTTATAATAATTATTATAATAGAAGTTATTTAACTAACCTAAACTTTATTTTTAGGGTCAACATTGACATCGCTCGGAGTTACAGGGTTCTCGTATGATATGTGTATAGTAAAAACTAAATAACAGGGTAAAGAGCTTAGATATTTGCCATGAAACATTATCTTATGCATCTTTACACAGATCAATCAAATTAGGATTAAAGATAAGTCATGACTCTTCCTTGAATGTTCAAAGCAAAACCTTCAATCATTTTTTCTGAGACCGAGGGCTAGATTTAAGATATTTGACATTATTCATCATCTAATAAATCTCTGCCAAAGTAATACAAATAATGGTCCTGGGGTGAAAATTATCCACCCGCCGAAGGTTATTGGTTTTCGGGTATGCTAAAGCTCAAATGGTTGGGAAAAGGTATCCTTTCACTTACCAAATAAGGTCCTATATCAACAACCGCTGTATTCAGGGACATATTTAGTGAAATGTCATATTTATGGAAAAAATGAACTTTCTTTTTCATTTGTCACACAGTGGTATAAAAATGCATAAGTTGCGAGGATTTAGTAAGAAATGCACCTCATCCACGCCGTCCGAAATCTGCAACTTGCAAAAAATGGTTAAAAAACGTCTGTTGCAGACAAATATTTACTTTAAAATGTAAAACCACATTATTAATTAATTAATTTTCATGTTTTATCTTAAATGAAATCCAGACGAATATGGCTAGTAAAATATCTGCAGAAAAGATGCATCTTATTCTCTTATCACTATACGTACCGGATTACGATTTTGAAATGAGAATCATTGTCCACATATAAACACATTATTAGTTATAAAGATTGTTGACAGGTTATATGGCCCTATATAAACGGCTGTTTATAAATATAGCCTGAGCCGCTAGGCGAGGGTTATATTGCAAACAGCCGTTTATATACGGCCATGTATCCTGTCAACAATCTTTATAACAAATTTATAATACAGCACGCATTATTGTTTAGAGAAAAAAGTAAGATTTCTTCATGTATCGACAACAGCCGTGTATATAAAACTATATAAACCTCACGATTACCCAATGAAAAGCGACGTGCAGTATTATAAATACTAATATAAGCACGCATTTCCGATATTTACAATTATAGCAAAGTTTATTTACATTTTATGATATCTAGATACTTTTCTGATTTCTAAAACAACATTTGAAATAGGAAATTCCAATAAAAAAACGCCTGATAAAGTTTATGTTGTTTAAGCATATTTATTTTATAAACCACAGATGCCGTCCTAGCACCTTGCCTCGTATTAAGCAGAATAATATTTTTGAAGTATTATGACTTCAACAAGAATACTATATGAATGTTGGCAGTAAAATAGACAGTTCAAGAATAAGATAACGAAGATTATGTCACAAGCATGTCTTTGATGTACAGAAAGATATATAAGCATGTATGAAATTGATACTTCTTCAATTGAAATTTAAACAAAAATATATTTAAACATATGCCCACTTTGGCCAATCATTCATTGAATTATGAGAAGATTAAGTTTCGACGGCTCTGAAAATATTACTCATAGTATCATTTTACATTTAGTATGTATCATAAACTAAATCACAGAGAGAATTCAGGAACTGTAAGGAATAAAGAATAAATGAGTGATATGTGAATCAAAGTTACTCCAATAATAATTTTCAAATATAAAAAAATATCCCATATTGAACATATTAAAGTGATAAGCAATGACTTATAAACAACATTATTCGTTTTACCGTACATCTTCGACTATAATGGCTCAAATCAATTATAAGACCTGACTATTTGGTTGTTTCGAACTTAGCTGTGTAAAAATTCAATGTTACTCTCTATAGAATTATGACCACTGGTGAGGAATTCCGTGTCAATACTATTATGGTTTCTAAATACATATAACTTTTCCCTACCTACTGTGAGTACAAATCGCGGCAGATTTTTTTGTATTATCTCATGTGAGGAAGCTATTCAACAAGCTTACAGAAGGACGCTGGTTCTACTCAGGTGCTCCTATTGCTTATTTGTAAGATTGAAGTAATTAAAACTGTTTAAGTTATTTGCTAGCTCGTATGGAAGACAAATGACCAGTATGTTTACGTTGACAAATAATTCCAATTAAGTGGGCTTGATAAGCATAAAACATGCATTTGAATAATGAGTATCTGTTTTAGTTGGTTTTAAATCTCACCAACATGGCGACTTTCCAGTTTTGCTGTCGGAGGAAGACCTCTTAATCCTAAAGCACTATAAAACACATGTTTGTCTTTTCATTCAAAAATCGCCTTTAACATTACTAGTATTTGATGTAATTTGTTAAGGTTTTATATGAATATATGAATATTTATGTTTGCACGAATAAGACGTAAAGTTTTCAAATAATGAGAAGAATTATCGACCAGATGGGCCGCTATATATACAGTTACTGTATTGTGTGCAAACTTCTAATGGTTATAAATTTACGGAGATAAATTGTCATCTAATCTTGTCGTTTCCTCTTGCATTGACCCAGATCGACAATACAAACTCCATGTGCTTAAAATCAAATGTATAAATCATATACATATACATACCTTGATATACCTATTCTAGTTTTTTTTTATTACATACTTGGCGTTTCAAAAATACTGCTATATTTGTTACATTTGTTTCGGATGTGCATTTATTTTTGCTTAACTAGAACATTTAATTTAAAGCAATTGATTCAACTGCAAAAGCGGTTTAGCAAAGTGCGGACTTATTTTCTCCAAATGAAATGGCTCCTTGAATGAGAAATGAATTTTATTTTACGTGTGTTACACATGAAAATACAAAATCGCCTTACATCAGTGTTTAGATTAACATAAAAGTTTATGTTAAACGATACATACTTGCAGGATTTATTAAAACCTATTATCACATATATAGGCACATATGACCACGACATGCATTTCCTAAAAGTTACTTTTCTTAATAAAGGTATCGATTTCATCGATTTACCCAGTATATTTCGTGATAAACGAGATACCAATTATTTGTTATAAGTATAAGAAAACTGTTAGAAATATCATATTTAATTACAACAAAGTGGTCTCTGACTTAGATATTCAGTCTAATACTCCAACTACTTGAGGCTGCAATACTTCTAAATTCTGTAATTCAGATTTTGGCCAAATTATCACTAGTTATTTTGATATTATTGCAGACAATAGAATTCGTAAATTATTCTTAAAAGGACCTAAAAACAGAATTCCTTCAGAAATTGATTTTAATGCTTGTCGAAGTAAGATTGCCGAAACAATTGAGAATTTTTCAAGTAAATGGTGTCGCCGTGAAAATGCTGTTAGTAATGCTCTAGCTTCTTGGAAACGTAATATTTTCAAAATTATTGATTCACGTAATAATTTTTATCGTGGAAATGAACATCTTCTTCCACCTAAAATATGATAAACAAGATCAACAAGGAAAGGCGGCGTTCAATGAACGCAACCCCCATACGACCAAGCAACAAGAAACAGTGGCAAGGAGCCCAGGCGGACCCCAAACAAAAACAGGACAGGGCACAATACAGAGCACGGACAGGTAAATCACCAAATGATAAATAATAAGTAACATATTAGAAATTCAAAATAAATAAATAAATGATTGACTAATAGGCCCACAAAGTCAAAGGGCACAGGGTAAGGGGACAGGAGACCGGGGGAAGGGGGTTAATCAAAGAAATAAAAACCAGGGGTAAAGGGGGAAAATACTTACCGTAGACGTGAAAACAACAAGGGACACAAGCAAACGTGTCACCAAAACAGTATGAAACAACATTGACATAAATCTGAGGAACACAGAGGGGCGCCGCCTTGGAACGGTCAGCAGCATAATAATGACTGCTGGGAAGTTTAAACCGGTTAATGGTGCACCAAACCTCGCTCTTAGCCCCACCATGTTCCTATAATCGAGACAGTGTAAATAAAATGAATCCCCGCCAAGTGAAATCCTAACAGTTGTTATGGTTACAAAAGGTTAAATAAGTAAAACACCAAAATGATCATGTAGAAACATATAAATGCAAACCCAATGACCATAACAAAAGTACTCAATGTCCTAAAGGAAGACAGAGCAACAAGAAAATCACCTACAAGGGCCCGACGAAGCAAGGCAGAAGACGAACATTAAGACAATTCAGTCCCAAAGGGCTTTACGAACTATCCATCATAGAGTCTCCCACTTGGTCCGTCAGATGCAATCAAAAGAGGAAAGCGTAGTGTCCAACTGTAAAAGGGTTGAACACTAAACATGCAGTATGTCTTAAAATAGTAGGGTCATAACCTCTTTTAATAAAACGTTTAATGATTTTAGTAAAAACAGCAGAAAAATTACCATGACCCAAAATCTTACGAAGTTTGTAAATCACATCGCCATAAAAACCAGACTGGCTAATCCCTTGTCGCAGAATAGTTTTTAAATCACTATTGGATTTAGAAATTAATCAAAGTTACGATTGTAAAATTTAGTAAATAGTGTGAATAGAATTGTTGTTGATAGTAATATGAAGATCCAAAAATGATGTACTAAAATTTCAAGAGTTCGTTTTATTAAGTTGTAGTTCATGTGGATAAATGTCAGACACCATTTGATCAAAATAAGAATTATCTAAATTAAAAATATCATCAAGGTATCTGGAAGTATAATTAAATGCGACTATAACATCTTGTTGTTTATCTTCAGAGAGACTCAACATAAAGTCTCTTTCATAGCAGTACA